TGACTCTTTTTCCGGAGTCCATCTCATCTTCTCCTTCATCAAATTGGGATGTCTTTCTTAGGGGTGGAAAAAAATACCGAATATCCCAAACCAAACCGAAAAATTCCCAAAACCAAACTGAAAAAATACCAAACCGAAAATCCCAAAACGTTCAATACTCAATACCGAACTGAACCAAAATTTTCGGTACGAGAATCGGTTTCAAGTTTTTGGTTTTTCGGTATTCTCAAACCAAACTGAACAAAAAATATTATTTAATTTTTAAATATATATTTGAAATTGTAACAGCTGCCAGATTTGGTTGAGATTTAATCTCAATCTTTCATTAGAAATCAAACCCTACACTTACACTTTGTCTCTCCTGTCTCTCTCAACACTTAGTTCTCACTCACTCTCTCTCGCGGCTCGCCTCATACTGAAACCCTTACCTCACCACCCTCGTTGCCGATTTGTCTCTCTGTTTTCCAATCCGACCACACAAGTGACTCACCTGAGTCACACCTCTCTCAACTATCACCTCTCTGATCTCTCTCGACTTCTCATCCCTCACAGAGTCACAGTGGAGGAGCCTTCCTGCACGAATCACAGCCACCGGCACCGCTCTCCTTCTCAGTTTCCTAGTCTCTCTCGATTCTAGTCATCTAGTGCACTGTGCAATTCTCCCTCAAATCAGGTAAAGTTCACAAGCTAATTTAGGGTTGGAATTCGAGATTAGGGTTTCTCTTCTATCACAAACTCACAATTGAAGCATAAATTTGTTATGGGTTGATAGTTCATAGTTCATAGTTGTAGCAATAATTGCATGTCACATCCCGACCCGGGCCCCCACCACATTCCGAGTTCGATTCCACCGTAGCACGATATTGTCCGCTTTGGGCCTTGACCACGCCTTCACGGTTTTATTTCTGGAAACTCACACGAGAACTTCCCAATGGGTCACCCATCTTGGGATTGCTCTTATGTGCTACTTGCTTAACTTCGGAGTTCTAATGGAATCTGAAGCCAGTGGGCTCTCAAAAGGCATCATGCTAGGTAGAGATGAGAATATACATATAAGGCTTACATAATCCATTCCCCTGGACGATGTGGAATGTTACATTGCAGCTGCTGAAATGAATTTCGAGAGTTGGTGTAAATTGATGAATGGAGTTTAGAATTAACTGTGGGATTTTAGGATGTTTGTAATGCAGCACCATAAATTTATTTATAATTTGTTTAGTTGTTCTTTTATATATGAAGATGTTGAACTAATGAACTGTCAAATACCCACATAATTGCACGTCATTAGGTTAAGGAATCTTCAATTGCAATGCTAGATCATATATCTTTCCCCAGTTGTTTTGTTGTTATTTTTGGCCAGGCAGAATTGGGAGTCTGGTAGAAAACGTCTCTGCCTCATCGAATTCAACACTTCACTTCTTGTAAGTGCCTCATCGAACGTCTCTGCCTATATAAACGGTACGGTTGCAACAGTTGCTTTGATTATAGTATTTCTTATTTTTCTTAAAAGGTATTTGTTTCTTAAAAATATTAGTTAGATATGAATAATATGAATTCTCTTTATGAATAGATGACTCTTTAATTGTGTTTCCTCTTTATGAATATATATGAAGCTAGTCCTACGCTTAAGGAGAAAAGAAAATTTTCGATTACGTTTTGTACTGTCCTAGTCCTACTTTATTATTGGAATCCTTATAACAGGAATACACGTCCTTTTCTTTTGATGTTGTTGGCTACCTTGTGTATATAACGTTTGCAAATTGACACTAGGAGGTCTTTCACCAACAAGAAGAGAGCAACCACAACCATCAACAAGATCAAATGGCCGAAGAGGCTAACAATCTTCATAAACTTTAAGCTTTTCATTTTGCTTTTGGTTTGTAACGTAATTTATTTTGAAACTTTGGTTTGTAACTAATTTTTTTGCTTTTGGGTTTGTTAGGCCATCTCCAACCGAGGGCTAGTCAGATGGCTCATTTTAGCCATCTGCCCCTCCAAGATATTAATATTTTAATGAACAGTACAGTGTCATATTTGCCTTCGCCTCCAACCGAGGGCCAAACATAATTTTATTTAAATTTAAAAACTACAACAACTTAAATTTAAAAACTATAACGGTAATTGGCCCAAAAAACCAAAAAAATTAGAACTTAAATTTAATTAATGGTTTAGGTATTTATAGGAAGAAAAAAAATAGAATTTTTAAGAATTAAAAAAAAAAGGGGCCAAAAAACCAAAATATAAATAAATAAATAAATAAAATTTGAATGCAACGGCTAGCTAACTAGCTGTTGTATTCAAATTTTTTTAAAGCAATCCTTTCAGTTATAACCGACAGGAATATATTTAATTTTTAATACAAATATATTTCTGTCGGTTATAACCGACATGATTGCTCTATTTTCTAGCCAGCCTTCCAGCCCTTTGGCCATTTCAGATTCCGTGGGGTCCTTCAGATTCTACGAGCCCTCTGGTCTAGCCCTCGGTTGGAAATGGTTTTCGGGCTATTTTCGACCCTCTGGACCCTTCGGTTGGAGATGGCATTACTTCATTTATTTTGAAACCTTGGCTTGTAATTAATTTTTTTGTTTTTGGATTTGTTACTTAATTTATCTTTGTTGCATGCATGTGTAGTAGAATAGTCAGATCAGATTGGCTATTGTGAGCAGGGGATACATGCAAGGATTTTGGTTTGATTTTATTTGTACAGAATAATTTGATCACTTCATTCATGCCTGGGAACTATAGATATGCAGCACATGCAAGTTATTATAGCCCAAAAACTGAAAAGCCCCAAAAAGCTCAAAATTATTTCAGGATTCCCAATTTGTCCCGAAATCCCAAAACTATTTCGGGATTTCCGAAAATTTGGTTTGAGATTGGTCTTGAAATTGGGAATCCTAAAAATTTCGGTTTGGGAATTGGGACAACGTTTTTGGTTCAGTATCCCATACCGAAACATCCATAGTCTTTCTCCCTGACTTTGTCTATCAAGTTAATTTTTGTACAATTTTAAAGAATGTGGGGATGGAATTTAGGAATCTTTGTACTATTTTTATTAGGGATATTGGGTTCTTTCAGCAATTCATTCATCTATTTACTTCTTGTTTCTTAATTGAATATCTATAAAATTCTCATAATTAAATAAAAAAGTTTTAGAAACCTAAAGGGAGTGGTCAAAACATGTTTGGACCTTGAATTGGGTTGGAAAAAAAAAATTTTGACCCAAAAAAATGACCCAAAACAAAGTGATAATTATCATTACCATACCATGACAATCGAACTATTTGACATGTCGAAATTCGATATACCGAAAGTTTGACACGGTAATAGTAATAAATTTTGTCATACCAAAAATTTAATATGATAATTGGTATATGGATTGTGGTACGGTAATTGTGCCAATGCCATCCCTACTCAGCTGCACTTTAGTATAAACAATCTCGGTCTTTTGTTTGGTGTTTGTGTCCGGTAATAATTTGGATAAAACTGTAAATGTCATCGATTCTCTCATAACTGTAGCCTGTTTTGTACAATTGACACTTGCGTTTCTATGTCTAAGTCTAACACCCCTAAACTAGCATTCATTGTTTACTTGACAAAACGATAATTTAAGTTAATACTCTAATGTGCGGAAAAGTTAATTCAAACTCAGGTTCATAGGGATTCAAACTTAGGTACATAAAAAATAAGATGTTTATCATAGTTTTAGGTATTTCTTCTCTGCGTGAAAATATTATCTAAGCGTATGTGATTGATTGAAATATGATAAATTTGATCTCCCTTATTTACTAGGTGACATGTTTACTTGGAATGAGCGAAGTCTTAAACTCAAGACCTTGAGTAATAGTGAATGCTCTTAATCAACTGAGTTACTAATTTTTTGCAAAACTAAAAGCAAAAGAAAATATGAACCTTGTCAATGGGACTTATTTCCCTAAGATCTTTTGTAGCAAGTAGCAAATGCAGTTTTGTTGGATATTTAGTAGGGATTGTGGGTTATGGCTTTTTTTTTTTTTGAGAACTTTAACCAAAAGGTTTTGAAACTATTTAGTTTAACGAAAAATTATATTTTTACATTAAAAATCAATATTGGTACTATTCACTTCACTCTTTATTTTGTTCTTATCGTTAAAACTCAAAGTTTTCAAGCCATTTTCATTAGTTTTCCTTATTTTTTATGGTTAAAACTCAAAGTTTTCAAATCTTTTCATTAGTTTTCCTTATTTTTTAAGGTTAAAGGTAAATTTATGAGAGTTTTAACGAAAAGTCCACGGTATTGTTCACTTTAATAAAAAACCATATTTTTGCACTAAAAAATCAATCCTGATACTATTCATTTTACTCTTTATTTTGTCCTTATTATAAAAACTCAAAATTTTCTAACCATTTCCATTAGTTTTCCTTAAATTTATTAGCAACGCAACAAATTTACACAAACAGAACTCCAATTATAAGTGAAGCACCATACAAAATATGGACCCCCAAAGCAACACAAGCTCCGGAGCCAACAGAAAGACCTAAACAAAGAAACCCTAGCATACTATTGCCGCCGCCGGAGCTCCAACCACCCATTGCAAACCAACACCCTCTTCAAACGCCTGAGATCAAACCAAACAAAGCCCAGGATTGAAGGACCACCCATTGCAAACCAACACCCTCTGCAGACTCCTGAGATCACACCAAACAAAGCCCCAGAATTGAAGAATAAGTCTGTCTCCCTAGTCCTCCAACAAGCCCCGCAAACGTCGTCGCCGCAGCTACAAATGAAGGGATGCTAGTGTGAAGAGACATCCAATAAGCAACAATGCCAAGGACAGCAAACACAAGGAAGGTGGTGGTGTGAACACCCCAAACGTCGTCGCCGCATGCAGCTACAAATGAAGGGATGCTAGTGTGCTAGTGGGAAGAGACATCCAATAAGCAACAATGCCGAAGACAACAAACACAAGGAAGGTGGTGGTGTGAACACCTGAACTAAAGCTCTACACACCTTATGATAAAGTCATGACAAATCGTGTCGAATAGAGGTCCGAAAGGGAGAGAGTTTACAGGAAGTTGGGGTTATGGCTATGTGGGAAGAATGAGATTATAAAGGCACAAAATTATTATAGATGCTAATCACAAAAGAATCACATTCCCAGATGGTAATTCTTTCCCCAACGGCTTATTCAACAAACAACAAAAATATTACAAGTCATTTGCTAATGTTGCCATTGAGCCTGTCAATAACAGAGATAACCCCATGAATGCCAAGCTTCCCATCCCCATTAGCCACCATCGCTGAATACATCTGCTTACTCAACGCCGCCCCTGGCAGCACCACCACCCTCCCATCCTCCTCCTCCTCCACCACATCCACTCCCATCCCCAAATCCTTCACCAAATACTCTGCAAACCCGCCAGGCCTCATGTCCCTCTCTATCATTTTCTCCCCAAACAACTCCATCAGCGTTGACCCCGCCGCCCCTCCTCTCACCGCCTCCAAAAATTGCTTCAAATCCAACCCCGCCCGCTCCGCAAACACCAGCCCTTCACTCAACCCAACCAACCCCACTCCGCCCACGATGTTGTTTCCTATTTTGCAACTCTGACCGCACCCGGCTTCCCCCATGTAGGTAACATTTCCCATGATGTCAAACAACGGCGTCAACCACTTCACAACTCCGGCATCTCCGCCGGCAAATATTCCAAGTTTTCCCTCCCTAGCACCCACGTCCGCCCCAGAAACTGGGGCATCCACAGCCCAGCAATCTCTGGCGCGCGCGGCAGCAGATATCTCTCGTGCCATGGAGGGTAGATTGGTGGTCATATCCACCGTGACACCGTTCGGGTTTAGGCCTGAAAGGACGCCGTTTGTCTCCAAGATAACTTGTCGAACATCCGGCGGGTGTCCCACAATGGTGAAAACAACGTCGCAGGATTTTGCAACTTCAAACGGGGATTCGGCGAGGCGGGCGCCCTGGGATTGGAGTGAGAGGGCTTTGGACGGAGTGCGAGCGTAGATGGTGAGGGAGTAGCCGGCGGAGAGGAGGCGAGAGGCCATGGCTGCACCCATTAAGCCAATACCGATCCACCCGATCTGGGTTTGGGCAGGAGTGATGGGGTTCGGGTAAGGGGTTCCCATGAGCAGAGGAAATCAAGGAAGGTGGCAGCGGAGGCGGAATCCGGTGGTGCTGCAGCGCAATCTGCGAATCTGATGAAAGATCAAAGACTTGATGAACATTAGGAGGAAAAAGATGGGAATCTTGGGATGGGATTAAACTAATCAGGAGAGGAGACATGATAATCATATAATAATTTCTCCCCACGAAATTCTAGTGTTTGGTTTGATCGATGCGAATATAAAATCCAGGTAACAAAGCTCGTGCGTTGCGGAGGAATTTTTCAAAAGGCGCTCGATATTCAAATGGTTGCTTCACGCGCCTTAAGTAACGACTCACGTCAAAATATAATACTTTGTCTGTTTATATTGACATACAGTGTAACGTACTTGTACCTTACTTTACTGAACATGGGCGGACTTTCAACAGGCACATCTTGTTCTCATTAGGCGATATGAGCAACTTTACAAAAATCATATTTTTTTACATATTATTCTCATTAGGCGATATGAGCAATCTTACGAAAATCACATACTTAATATTTTACGTTGTTTCAAATCTCATTGATTTTGTACATCAAAATTACATGACTCAGTACTTGAAAAAAAAAAAAAAAAATCTCATGTGTTGTGGTCCTCTAAACTTGCTAAAAACCATTAAATTAGACAGCAATTAGAAATGCGTAATATTAGTAATACAAAGATATTTAAGAGCGATTTTCAAGTAACTATTTACGAAACGTCATTTACAAATATATCGTACGTTTGCAATACCCTCCATCTAACATTTGCAGGCCTACTGATTTGGCATCATTCTCTTGAAACTTTTAAATCTCTCATCCATATATTCGCCTAAACGTTAATGTTATTAGGGTTTTATTTAATTGAGATTTCAAAAGATTTTAATGGGTTTATAAAGTTTGTAGGATGTTTTCTATTGGATTTTTGTAGAATTGGGGAAAAAGTTTAAAAATTCATGAGTTTGTAGAAGTCTGGGGTATTTAATTAGAATTTTAGGGGTATTCAATAAAAAAAAATTTTAAGACTTTATTAAAACCATAGAAATTGGTGTGTGTATATAATCAAAAGATTTAACAAAATTTATTAAAATTCATATTCAATCATGATTCTAAATGAGTAATAAAGTCTTAAGTGTATTGCTAATGAAGTTTGGTTGAATTGTTAAAGATCATTTCCTTCGTGAGACCAAAGTATACGTTCAAGTCTCGCTGCTAGTAATTTTCTTTAATGGGCTATTTGAAAAAACAAAAAAAGAGCTAAGATCCCATTTGTAAGTCCTCAAATAGGTTTGTGGCATGCTCTAATTCTGGGACGAGATAGCCTCCCTCTAAACCTTTATATACCCGGAAAAAAAAAAGAAAAAAAAAAAAAAGAACTTTTCATAAACTTTGTCTTCACCTTGAGGTTATGAAGGAATTCACTAAAAATTCAGTGATATATACTCAAAATCTATATAGAAAATAGAGGAAGTTGTAGCAATGGTTAACTCAATTGGAGTAATGTTTGTCAACTAAAAATCTATGATCATTGGTCTATTAACTCATCAAAACGGATCATTTTCGTCAACTCCTTTAGAACATTCATCAAAATGAGTCATATGCTACGCATGTGAAGCTGAATCAAAGGCAAATATGGAAACCAAATGAGAAAAATTGTAGCATGGTTGTTCAACTTTAACTGAATTGGAGAAATAGTCCCTCAACTTTAATCCAACTGGAGTAATGGTCCATCAACTTTAATCTAATTATAGCAATGGTCCTTCCAAATCCAACGTGGCACATTTTGAAGGAATTCTGACAAAGTTGGCGAAAAAAATTATAGTTGCACGTTTGAATGAGTTAAGAACCAATGGTTATGAATTTTCAGTTAAATAACTATTACTCCAATTAAATTAAATTTGAGAAATTATTTCTACAATTTTCTCTGGAAAATATGAAAGTGCATAAAATATAATAGATTACTGAACTTTTTATTTATTTATCAATAATAGGTACACTAAATAGGTGAAATACAAAGGGCATAATTGGAAATTTGTGGTTCACATGGTGGCAAATGCTGTAAATTGGTACGAATATCTCCACCAAAACCCTAATTGCGAAGAGAGGCGCGATAAACAGACGCACACAGAACGCTTCCGTCGTCTCCAGTCTCTCCGCCGGCAAATAGCAGCAGCATCTGCAATCAGCCATGGGTATTTGATTCAGTTTTACTGTCTACGTGTTTTCGCGATATCTGATTGGTCGTTGACGGTGAGTGAGTGCTGTGCAGGTAAGGTTCACGGGTCGCTCGCGCGTGCCGGGAAGGTCAGGGGTCAGACCCCGAAGGTCGCCAAGCAAGACAAGAAGAAGAAGCCCAGAGGCCGCGCCCACAAGCGCTTGCAGTACAACCGGAGGTTCGTCACCGCCGGTAAGCTCAGCTCATCCCTCTGCTCACTTCCTCGGTTTAATTATACTTGATTTTTCTGAATTAGGGTTTCTTTGGATTTGGGAACAAAAGGGTTGATAATTTGGATGGCTCTGATTGTAATTTTGATTGGATTTGCAGTTGTTGGATTCGGGAAGAAGAGGGGGCCTAATTCTTCTGAGAAGTAAGGTTGCTTTGTGGGGACTTTTTACTGTTTTCTTATGAGGCATTAGTTTCATTTGAAGTTTCAGATTATGGTTTGACATTATCTACTGGTTCTGTTTCGTCGTTCTAAATCGAAGCATGTTTTGATTTCCGGATTGGTAAATGCTTATTAATATCTGCTACTTTTGAGTCTTTGAGTATGTGATCGTTCGATATTGTTAGTAATTTAAGTTTTGATCTGCTTATGCCTTGTTGTTACATTGTTAGTATTGATTTTTGGCTTCTCTGGTGCTGCCTGTATATGAGCATACTGAGATTACTGGTAGTCTCGTGTACTAGATGGTTACGGAGCTATTTGTTTTTCAGACATCTAGATGTAATTCATGTAAGTGAAAAGCCTTTCGAACCCCACATTTTCGCTTTTGCCAATGACAACATTGATCTCGTCTTAACAACATTATCATTCTTTCACTCCTTTTTCATCGACCCTGACCTTGAGTGACTATTCTTCGTTCTAATGTCCATCTCTTTCATCTGCATAGCTCCAATCTCTTAGATCTAGAGTAGTTGGACTTATCTTTCTCCGATTTCTGTTTTTCATTTAATAGACGAAAATAGAGGAACCCCCATCCCCCATTTCCTTGTTAAGTGTTCCTTGGTGGAACAAGAACTCGAGTTACACCAAAGCACAGGCATTCCAAACTGACATTGATGAATCAAAAGCAGCATTTTGGTAGAGGCGTGGAACCTAAGGCCTAGTTCTTGATGTTGTTGTCAAGTAGAGAAGTTGGTTTTTACTAGAACGTACGAATAAGTAGAATTTTGATGTTTGAATGTGGTTATGAGGAGTGTTGGCATGTTTTATGCAATGCTTGCATTAGTTTAAAACCTGTTATGAGCTTACGTAAATGGCATTGAATCAGATGAATTTGTGAGCGGAACATAGTGAATTTATGTTTGTGAAATACCGCCGGACAATCAGTGCACATTTCTAGTCGGATGAACTTGGTTTTCTGTAAGGTTACGTGATGACGGGTCCTTGTGGATCGAGTCAGGTGTTCTAGTTTTGTGTTGCAGTGTTCATAAACGTTATGAGATTTCAGAACCACTTCGTTTTTAGATTTCGAACTAAAAATCACCATAGTTATTAACTTATTATACCATGACAAGAGATTAATGGTTATCCTTAAACCAACAACCTCCTCCGATGACCTCTGCCTCCAGCCGGTCGATTGGAACACTAAAAGTCTTTCAGAGTACTTGGAACTTCAAACCTAAAGAAAGGGCAGCCAGCCACGTGTCAACGATGAATTAACTGGTGATTGCGAGAGCAGCTGACCCAGCAGTGGTCGCAAGCATCCCTCTTTTCTTACTCACCATGTCACACGGCAGCTGTATGTGCACTAAAAAAGTCACCGTGCACTCCTTGTTATAAAAATAAAGCAAAATTAATGAAAATAACTTAAAAATTTTAAGTATTAATGATAAAGACAAAATAAAAGGTAAAATAAATAGTACCAGTATTAACTTTTTAGTGTAAAAATGTGATTTTTCGTTAAAGTAAATAGTACCGTAAGCTTTTCGTTAAAACATACTAAAAATAAAGGCAAGAGGTCATAATGATTACTTTAGAGTAATTCTCTTTAATAAACCATCTAAGGAAAAAGTAATCAAATTGGAGATTATTTAGTTGTTCGATGCATAGGATTACCAAACGATCTCTGATTCGATCCACTTGTTCTTTTTGAGGTGCACGGTGAATATCGTTAATCACAACTGAAACGGAGATAAGGAGATGCAACTGGAAATGCAGCCAAGTATTGTTGGTTTCGTAAAGCACCCGACTGAAGCGACTCTACATGTTAGCTACTACATGTCCAACTTTCAAAAGAAAAAGTGTGGCAACAATCATGTTAGCCACTCTACATGAATGCATACACAACCCAAACACAACTGGAAAATATATATACCTTAACTTTCCGCAGCTCATTTGTTGAAAGATACGCGGTACTTTCTGCGGTCAACTGACCAACAAAATCCAAATGAACTTGCTCCGTGCTCAACGAACTATTGGCTCTCCATCAGCAGGACCCTGATTGAGTTCTGGTACTGGTGGAACTGCAAGGAAAGGAACAATTGTTTCAGTGTGGAGTCAAAGGAATCCAGTTATCCTATAGCCAGCCTAGCATGGAAAGGAACCAATGTTTCGTTACCTCTTTCATAATCTCCTTGCATTTACAAGCTAATTCTTTCTGATCAGCTGCTCCAGATTCTTTTGTTGATGCTGTCTTTGAAGTGATAGAATCCACCTACCAATTGCAAAGCTAAAATATCAATTTGTACATCAGATTGAATGAGAGTGGCTCACTATTTATAAAGTACCTCAGAAATTACCTCTTCGACTGCAGCTTCAACAGCTTTTTGCCTTGCTTCTAGATCACGCCTCCTAGATTCCACCTCCAGCTCCACGTTATTCAAATCTTTAGAAGCCTCCTCGAACTTCATATCTCTTTCCCTTTCTAGCTGCTTTTTTAATTCATTCAACTGTTCCACTGGAGAAAAAGAAACAGAGTTGGAAAATTTACCACTATCTACATTTTTCCTTCTTTCGATCATAAGCCCTATCGGTATGCTAGGAAAGAGGCTCAATAAGTTTTGCGAATGTTATAAAGGATCGAGATTGCTAAACTTTAATTAAGCAATTTACATTAGAATTCATCCTACCTTTTCCCTCCCGTTCAACCAGTTTGGCCTGAAGAGACTTGCTTACAACCCCATCGTCACTTAGTTTGGCCTTTACAGCCTTAAAGTCTCTGTCGACTGATTTAGCAGAATTAACCTAGTATATAAACAACTGCACGTTATGAAAGAATACGTTTAAAGCAACGCCACTTGCACTGCATGAATAAGAATGTCGACGGTGAAAATCCTTTATCACAAAGATCATTAAAGGATACAAAATTATGGTATGCATACCTGTTCTTGTATAGCCTGCATTTGGGCCAAGTGTTTTGACAATTTCTTAGAGACCTGACCATTAAAACTTTACAATGTTATATTATACTAAAGTACACACATTAGTAATTACTAAATTAAAAACAAAATTAAACATATAATTTTCAGTTTTTGTTAAGCTTCCATCAACTTACTAATTGTTTAAATTGCATCTTCTAGATCATCTATTTTTGGTAAAACGTATGAGGACATATTGCATCATATATAGATCAAGACTGGTGTTACAGATATCAACAGCATACTGTTTGATAATGGATTACCTTTGTATAAACCTCATCAACAGCGGTCTTCTCCTCCAAAGATTGCTTCGCTGACCTTTCAGCATTTTTCGCCTCCTCACGAACTGATTTCTTCTCTTCTAAAGCCCTCTTTAAGCCCAATAAAAACACAAATAATTTCTTTTAGTTGCAAAACGAGCAAAACTCTGGTGAGCAATCAATGAAAGAAAACTAAAGAAACACTGACCACAATCGACAAAATAATAAGCTTACTTTTACCTAGTAAGGTACAGAAACAAGTAATTTAAACCCTCATTAGGAAAATGCATAAGATGGAATCGAGTATCATAGGTAAACAGGCAACACAACAAATATTTGAGAAAAATGTCAAGTTAGAACGCTAAGGGAAAGGAGAACAGGCTATTATAATATAAGGGAGTCCAATGGGTAGAACAATTTATTTGTTATTAGAGGTTTTGTAGACTGGTAGTCGAATGACAACCAATTCGTGCAGGTACTATAAATATTCTGAATATAACAATTCCTCCAGAATGCTTCCACGGCAAGCCAGGAAATATTTTAGTATGAAGGAAATTGAGGCTCTAAAACCAATTGGCCATGGTGGAGTGGCCCAACTTCTTGTAAGCCCTCGCAACCTTTATCTTGAAGGAAAGTTCCTCCATGTTGTACTACATGCCAATATTCTTGCAATGGAATAAGGCAAAAGCAGCAATTATTACTAATAATCTTATCTCAAATTCTTGCATCTCCTATAGTGGTCAGTAACAAGTTAAGGTTGTCATATGGATCTCCAAAGCATGACCATATAAAATCTACAAATTGCTTAACTACAGCAAATAAAACTAGAAAAACTCACGAGCCTTGTAACACCCAGAGTGGGGATGCAATCAACAGGAATGTAGTAGTACTATTTGGTGAACTGTCGTTCAGTAAATAGAACTCGAAGAGAATATACCTGCAATTTATCTGGTGACTGAACAATTTTTGAGCGCAAATTTGCATTTTCTTGAACACTTTGTACCAAAGAAAACTCTGCACTAGAAACCTGTAGTAAAAGAATACGCCAGAAGAATAATTACATAAATACATAATTAAAACATCTGGATGAAGAGTGATAATTACATAAATTTATACTTAAAAACATCTGGATGAAGAGTTGATCACAATAAATCAAAATTTAACACGGCATCAATTGAAAAGAAAAAGAATTTTATTAAATGAAGAAACATATACAAATAAGAATAATCTCTGACCTTGTTGAAGACTTGATACTATGTTTAACTGAAGATATGAAAATAAGGACTGGGAATAATTGTACTTAAAAAGGAATTTTTAAAACATTTCAGTTGTATCGCCTCTTCAATCCTAACACTTGGTAAAGATTGATCTATGTTGACCCATCTACTCTCCCTCCTACACACATAAGGTTAGAGTTTTGGGGAGCAACCACATGCACACACACTAGCATGCCCAACTTTAGTCAATCAAAGGGCCCAATCAAGAATAAGAAATCCAGGCTAACAAATACCACAATGGAAGTAGATGTGTTATCATTAAACTACATTTGGTGGATGTCACAAAGTCTAAGGAGGACCCGTGCAATTTTATTCTAATCTCACACTTTATAATTCTTTTAATGCCTGTTTATGAATTCTCATAACGAAATAACAGACGTTCCTAAATTTGTTCGTCTTCAAATTCTTAACAATTCAACACTACCAATTACTTAATCTGCAGCAATAACAAAAGCTTTCCTACCAGAGTTTATAATTTATTTGTGTTTTTTTATGCTATTTAGAGCATATATCAGTTAGCCAAGCAGTCAATAATCTAACCTTTTCCTCTATTTCTCCAATCTTCTCCTTCAACTTCTGACGAGAAGTTCTCAGTGACTTTTGCTGATTGTTAAGGCCTGAAACAGTTTGGTGCAATTCTTTAACTTTTGCATCTACCTCTTGAACAAGAGGCAACTCCTTTTCTCTTGCTTCATTGTAGTCCGCAATCTCTGCATTCAACTACAACACAAACATCTAGTGAATTGATGCATATTTGACATTGAACCTTTTAGTTTATTAAAGGAACCTTTTTTATATTAAAGTTACCTGGGAAATCTTGTCCTCCCACCCTTTGCGTTGCTCATCTATGTCAGTTAATTGATCCACGACTTGGGTAAGGATATTCATTTTTGTCTCTCTGATATGTAACATAAACAACTATCATGTGTGAGAAGCAATTATGATAGAACTAATTAAACCAGAATAATTGAGCTTTTCATATGTGAAATATTTTCTCTTTTCAATTAAGTTCAAAATGGGAAGAACTATTTTCCTTCAGGAGAATTTTGATTTGTGCTTCCTTGTGAATATATCTGACCCAAAAGAAAATTCCCTCTCTCACTATCTATCTCTCTCCCCCCAAAACAAAGGAGGCATCTCTAGTGACTCCATAATCATTGTTCCTTGTGAGAATGACAATAAGAAGATTCATTTCACATACATTGAGGATACTTAGCACGAAAATATTTTTTGTGATCACTTGCGGTAGTTTTAGTTTACCATCAACTGGGACAAAGTACCATCACTGTGTTAAGAACTTAAGAACATACGGTCACACAAATTATAGTAAGTTTGTTAATATTCACAAATTAAATCATCTAACCATGCATCATTTACATTCAAATCACACTGGAAGAGCCCAAACGAGAATTTATCAGAGTATTATTAATCATCACACACAAGTACTACGAAAAGTAAAATCTTTGAAAGGAATAACTAAAGACAAAATCTTACCTGTGAAGAGAGAAATTGAGAAGTGCACTGACAAAATATTCAGTCCGATCCGTCTCAGGTTTTATCATATCTTTTAGAGTAAATTTCTTAGGACAATCCACTAAAGCCACCACTTCCTTGATTCTGTTGTATAGCTTCATGGTCCGGACCGAGTCCATGTGAAAATCCGGATTCTCGAGCTGCTCCAAGGCCGAAAACTCAACCTGCCCGTAATCTTCCCTGCATAAATCAGAAACCCCACGAAGATTTGAAGCTCAGACTCTCTCTTCTCTATTACCAAACATAAAATATTGAAAAACCAAGGCCCCGTTCGATATCCATTTCGTTTTTTTAGTTACCAAATGAGTTTACAGTTTTCAAACAAATGAAAACAAAATGGTTATCAAACGGCCCCTAAACATTGATTCTTGTTCACTTTTCGAATGTGAATCAAATGGAGTATCTGGGTCCAAACCCATCTCTGTAACTAAGGAAAACACAAAACCCCATATAACCATTGAAATTAAAAGCACGCAAAATAGGGACTTGAATTTCTAGTGAAGTGGACAAATTAGCGGGAAATTTAGGTTTTAAGGAGAGAGAAGTACTCGTGGAAGAAGTCGAGGGAGACGAGGATGCGGGTGTAGAGGTCGGCGACGAAATCAGGATTGGGGTTGACGAGATCGCGGTCGAAAATAACGACGATGTGAGCGTCGGCGAGGATTGTGACGATGTCGGAGCGAGTAAGCTTCGGGTACTCAAACTTCGACATTTCTTTCTTTCCCCAAATCTTTCAGAAACTTGGTAGTTGGTATTGCCCAGTGGCCAACGAGGGAAATGCTCAAGAGATATAAAAGGGGAAATATAACTGAATATTTTCCCGCTCCTTCCGATAATTGAAATTTTCTGTTATTTTGTTGATTTGATAATCATTTCGTTCTTGTAAAACAAAAAAAATTAAAACAAAAATTAAGAAAAAATGATTATCCATCCGTCGTTAAAATTTAAACTTTTATGAGTCAAATGTAAATTTCAAGTTACAAATGAAAGGAATGTGATAAAGGGTTGTATTTTTCAGAGTTCGGATGAAATTTTTAGTTAACAGGTCCTGAGGTTGGTCTTGAGGCTCGAATTCAATCCTCGTGGGAAGGCCAAATCAAATGTAACAGGTTCATTGATCTACTTCAAATTTGTGTATGGGAAATGGGACTAAAAGAGAATGAAGACGGAAGCTAAAAATTTAGATTTATTTGAAGAGATTTCATGTTCCGTGTTTTGTTAAAGAGATTTCATGTTTCATTTATTGAACATGCCCAACTTGCTCACAAGTTTGGCAAAATAGCCTATTCGAAACTACTTTTGTTAAAACATTTGCAAGTTGATCTTCCGACTTAACTCTTGCTATCTCCATAATCTTTTCGAAGTGATGACAATCTCTTGTGGAGGAGTCATGGATTCAAAGAGAGACTTGTCATACGTCATGTAATCAGTAGCATCGAAATTAATAATCCAACACGAGTCAAGATCTCCTTACGCAACTAAGGCTTTTCTCAAATTTCCTAAATCATCTTGATCATCAAAAAGGGATATCTAATCAACAAGAGACAAGATTGCTGTTACAGTGGATTGATGTGATAGACAAATACTTGGCTTTTTCAATGTAAAAGTCATTCCTCCTTTTACATATGTTTGCATAAACTTTTTTTTTCGTGATTTTAACTAATCATTTGGCTAATGTGTCACACTATAATTTGCAGTTCAGTAGAAATAGTGTAAGGAGCCAAGTGATATACATGATAAATAGAGAAATACGAGGAATCTTGGCATGCATGCTTCCCTCTAGAAGGAAACTTGCATATGTAACTCTTCGAACGTCAATAATACTATGTCATGCGTAAGTGTCTCCCCACAGGATTATAAGATGGTACGACTCTTAAGACTGTCATATTGTTGGGCGAACGATTGTGTGGTTCCTCACGATCAGAATACACATCAAAGAGATAGAGATTCAAGTTTGTTGTTTCAAAGTAGAAGATAGCCCTCCCATTCCCTGCATCTCCTAACAACAATTCAGTATCGGAAATTATTTTTTGCACGCCGTTTTTCACCACCCGCACAGCCTTAATTTGTTTCCAACCATTGAATTGAACAAATACGAGAACCAGGAGCCAAAAACTGTGCAAAAATTACTCCCCTTTTCGGATTTGATCAACGTGGGTTAGTTGTCCCTCCTATCGACTCTTGATTGACACTGGAATTAGTTACCAACCATGAAACAACATAAATTAACCATTCCCATATCCCAACTGCAAAGTAATGCATTCTCTCATTAGACTTCAAACAAAAGTAACCTTATTAGTATGACTGCCAACAAACGAAAGCACCAACTTCACCGTTGGCAATTTGATTCTGCAATCAATAACTTACAGACAAGGCTGTGTTACACATGAACGACATACTATGGGTAAACATCACCTTCACTAATTCTATGTGGGGAAAGGCGAAATTTTCAAGCCTATAGAAACCCCACAGCGAAGAACCGTAAAACTCAAACAATAAAATGCACACGAACGCTCAAAGCAGACAGCAGAATGGAAGGAAAAATTCGGGGGAAACGGATACCACAAGAGAATAGGGAAAAGAAGTAAAAGCATATCTCCAGCCTTGAAAAATGGAGGTGGTACTAGGAGGAGGATCACCTGTAAAACACGGGAACAAAAACACGTACAGAAGGTTAAAGCAATTTGCAAGATGGGGTTCATAGCCTCTTAGGGCACACTTTTCATACCGTAGGGTACAGGCATACCTTATAGAACAACGTTCTCCTCCAGGACTTCAGCCATTCCGGCTATTAAACACGGGAACAACATACCGCAGTCTTTGGATTGAAAATGAATCTCAGCAAAAAAGGCAAGTAGAAAATATTGGTGAAGAATCACAATTCACGGGCTCAATCGAACAGCTTCTTGGAGTAAATGCAACAAGAAGGCAAGCCACCGGCTCCCAAATCAGCTTTTCGGGACAAATGCAGCTAGGGCATTTGCATAAGCAGGGGAGAGGTTACTCAAAAGGGGCTGCATTTGATGGCCATAGAGGGAAATCAGGTGAGAAAAAGCTCTTCCGATTTGTGCTTTTACTTCAGGAGTTTCAACCGGAGATGCCACAACTTGAGCAAATACATTAATCAATTCAGGGACTAGAGAAAGGATCTGCTTGGAACATAGAATGAGTGCATAAGAAACTTACGGTCACCTCCATTAAAAAAAGGAAAAGAAAACAAGAAAAACAGAAAAGACCAAAAAAGTGCAACTTCTAGGACTACCGAATAGACATGGAGCTTCCATAGAGGGATCCCTCATCGTGTGTGAGATATATGTACATATGATAAATGTGTGTCTGTGTGTGTATAAAATATATATCTTATCATTTTAATCTACACAAGTTTCAGACTGAAATCATGGAGCAGTGAACTAACCTGAGCATTTGATGACAAAACAAGAGTACAGACGCAACTATACACTGCCATGGACTCTTCACGATCTTCTTTTAGTGGAAGAGCCTTCAAGAAAACAGGAAGTACCTGCAAATTTATTAAGGAGATATATACTTAAGCTCAGCAAAAGAATAACAAAATGATGGAACAATGATAACAGTAAGCCCGATAATGTCATCAGGACACTTACCTGATTCAATGGGATAGATTCAGGGTGTCAAGTTGATGGTTAGAAATCGATAGCGGATTCCATGTACACTCTTTTATTTCCGTATTAAGGTTTGCCTCGTTGTCGATACTAATAGCTCCTTTTTCCCGAGTACCAAACGTGGGATGTGATTAGGCTTGACCATTTATTCCACGACCTTTTTTTTTATTTTTTTATTTTTTTATTTTTTATACAAACAATATTATCTACACTAAGGAGAGGAGATGAATTTAGCCTCATAATAGGCTAACAATAATGTGGTTCAAATTCGTTTTTAACGAAAATCATACTTAAAACCTATCACTTACAAGTGAAGAAGAATATTACTAGAGTAGTACCATTGCACAACTTGTTAACCCAACAAGAAACGGCACTAATAACAAGTTTTAGGTTAATTTGTTGATGTGTCGGATCATTATTGGATCATCGGTTTAAGAACCTGTTAACAAATTTGATCGTTATCAAGTCATCCGTAAAGATATCGTTTGCCAGATCAATAGGCATGACAATTTCTATGAAACTAGTCGTTAACGTCAAGTCTTTGTCAGATCATTTGTTAAGAGCTCCTTAAGATAACCGGCTTGACACGACATGACCTGTTGAGATAATCAGTATGACCCAAAAATCATACAAACACAACCCGTTTTCCAAGACTAGATGTGAGATGACACTAGTACATGTTGAAAACAGACTAAACCAAAAATCATCAGCCCAATCATTTTTACCTCCATGGATTCGGGTATGACTGAACACCTAACTCTCCTAGTTTAAATTAGCTTAGTATAGACCAGTGCTTGTATAAAAAAACAAAATGACCTGGTAAAGTCATACACAACAATCCTCTTTGAGTCCTGACAACCAACTCCAAACATTCACATTACAAAAATACTTATTATGAAAACAGTACACAAGTCATACACAACGTTAGTCATTGAAAGAGATCCGAAGTTTGAATCTCCTCTTCTCGGAAACATAAAAAAATAAAATAAAATAAAATTAAAAAAAAAAAAAAAAAAAAAAAACCAGTTCTAGTTTAATACTTTATTAGCACCACTCGCCACAATTCCACAGGATTAAACAACCACAGGCACGAGTTTTGCCTCACATTGCTAGAGTGCCAAACGACGTCAGACAACTATATATACAATGGATATAAGATTTCCATATGCTCCTACGAGAGCCAATTTAGAATCTCTTGCTGCTACATGATTTGTAAATAACGTATTAGGTCTCCAGCTTGTCCTTGGGTTCCGACCAAGACTGACCAGTATGCAATCGGAAAATCTCAAGCTATTACTTCCCAAACACAAATAGAAAGAAAGTAGAGAATGACAGGAACTGGAAGACTACCATCTAGAACATTTATAGCCGAGTTTCCATCCTACTGCTCGATTTTCCATTACGCATCAGTAACAACTAAACACTGGTTTGCACAAGCATGCATGTACCGAGATATGTTCAGTTACCTCATATGCCCAAAAGATAGGACCTACTTCATGAGCATGTTAATAGCTGCGTGAATGGAACTGGTACGAGAACTGCGATGCTGAACCAGTGAATGGGGTCCACTCCAGATAGACTTACTATTGTTAGGGAAGAGAGTCCCACATAGGTCCAAAAGCATGGGATTCTCAAATTGCAGACTTTCATATGCTTTCACTTTCTTATGCCTCCTTTCTTGCGATTCCTGCGACTGAATTAGGCCATGAGTGAGTAATTTTCACATGCACCTTCAAAATTGAATAAAGTTTCAAATGCAAATTTCAAACCTCATAAAAATATAAAGATTAAAATGTGCTCCTTTTGCAGTAGCACGTTTTGTAAAACTTCACAGTTTAGACTAAGACTGTTAAAACAAATACAGAAAAGAAAACGATGTGTATCCATTGTGACCTCGAATCTGTTACTTGATAGAGAAATTCTTTTGCATTGTTGTTAAATATATGTTCAACCAGGACGCCAACCATTGTATCTCCTGCTATATCTGGTTGCCTACTTAAGTAAAAATATTTATAATAATTTGAAGTGTATCTACTTTCTACTGGTATGAAGAAAGGTGAAGGTTCTGTAATATCTGGATGTTATTTACGAAAATATTTTTCAAACATGGGTGATGCCAAAGAAAGCAAAATATTATACCTTAGGTTGCTTATCTGCTACAAGTCCTTCCTCCTGCTGCATTGATGTATTATCTTTGTTTGTATCAGTTTGGACTCCTGCGGAAACCTCTGCTGTTATCGGTTGCAATTGTTTATTAGGCTCTTCTCTTGATTTCTCAAACTGCTCTAGTGCTTCACCATTATCTTCATCTTTCATCTCTGTGTCACTATCTTCTTCCTCATTCCCCTCATCATCATCATCATCCTCCTCCTCGTGCTTCTCCCCTGAAGGACCATACTGCTGCTTGGATACCCCCATTTTCACATCCTCTCCTTTTTCTTCTACCTCCGCATCTGCATTGGGCTCCAATGATCCATCCATATCCGAAGATGAATTCCCACCCGGACTTTCCGCAAGTGAAGATTCCTAAAGAGAGATGATTCAAAAGTAATAAATTAATAATCGTCTAACAATAATAGTAGTATTACCAGCAGCGGCAGTAGCAATAATGAAAATAAATACATCAATAATAGTTAATAAGAACTTACATTAACCAAGTTTGCAATTTAACTATCAAATGTCTTTTTTCACAAGTAAAAGGCAACTGTCCAAGGCAGTCCCTTATACTGTAAAACCTCAAAGTATAATTATTGGTGATGGGAGATACGTCTTAAGGGGTAAACACACAACACCCTGCTTTCAAAATAACATACACTACAACCCCAAGGCAATGGGAAAATTAAGAAAAATGACGATCAATGCTTTCAGCTAAATCGAAATGCACCAAAAAGGTGATTAGCTAATATTAGGCCTCTTCTTTTCAACAGGTCACAGGTATCCACTCTCCCTTGAGCCATCCATGCTAAAACTTGCACATCACAGAGTACTTTAGCCTACTAAATCATCAAGGATGGACTCCAAGTAGGAAGAGGCAGGTTACCAATAAATTGACTAATGTAAGATTTATGCAAAAAGCTAACAAACTCAAATTTCCATACCCTGCCTAATCATTTTGGTCACGTGGCTGCGATGAGACGTTTTCAATAAAAGAGAGAACTAGAGAACTCAACAACTTCAAGTTTAGTTAAGTTTCTGAAACTGGGTTCAAACCAATGACCAAAAAAAAAAAAAAAAAAAAAAAACCCCACAAACTAGCTATGGGCTCACCCTACACTTACAGCATGCAACAAGCCTTTAAAGGAAAGGCAAAAAGACAATACTCAAATATCAACACGCTTGTCCTCCTAGAAATACTCCCTAAGCATGAAAAAAAATTAGCCAATAGTTTCTTCTCTCTCTTAATATTCATTTGTGTATGGCACAAGATGCTCCAATCAATATTAAATCAACTGGTTATAATACTATTCTCACAAAAAAATTACAGTTAAGAAAATTCCAATTTCGAATTCCTGTTACTCTTCCTAATTTCAATACAAATGAAAACACCCTCCAAAGAGCAGATCAGATCTGTAAAAATTGACACTGAATGAAAATTGCAATTTAAATTTTTAAATGTGAAATAAAGAGCTAATGGTGAATTAGCATAGATTTTACTAGTTCATGACATCTCTTAAAATTCCTCATATAGTTTTTATGTATTTACTAATTTACTTAATTACATACTTAGCAATGCATCTGATTGCAGGAATTCAAAGGGAAAACCCACTTTAATAATCATTTTCTGAATGGATCCATTGGCTAAAACTTCCAATTTACCTCTTGCTTGAGTTCTTGAGCAAGACTATTATCACTAGCTCCATGGCCCCTTGCAATTTGATCATTCTCCTCACGCTCCCTTCTACGGCGCTTTAGAACACAGATAGCACATAAGCAATCCGCTTTATGATGCCTTCTGAAAATGGAAGAAATCTCAAAACATAAGAAAACCTTTTTCTAGTATCATGCTATAAAAGTTAGAGATCAAATTGAATATCATTTTGAAGTTGCAACACCACATGCAATTTCTGTGTTTGTGTTCGTTGCATGGGGAGAACTGTGGGATGTGATGTTCACTTCTAAATGTTAACATTACCAAAAATTAAGGGAATAAAAATTACCATACTACAACAATCTTGAATACAGTACCTGCATACACAATTTATAAGAAAAAGCAACTACAACAGTTTTGGTTGACTTTGACTCGCATGTATCATATGAAACATGCCTCTACCCAAGCATACGCTATAACAATCTCCCAGAACCCAAAAATTCCCGCCACCTCAAGAAATGTGTCAAATTGATTAAAATCATTGTTTTGAGAATGCAATAAATGAAAGGAATTACATGGAACCAGAAAATTATATAAGGCGTACCTAAGCTCCTCAGCACAGAAAAAAAAAAAAGAAAGAAAAAAAAACATTGTTTATCGACTATAAGAAAATGAAACACAGAAATAAATACAGTGAATGAGAAAGCAGATGTTGTTAGCATCAGGAAATAAAACATCCCTTTGCATAATACTAGTGTGACACTGTAATCAAGCGTAGCAAGGGAAAAGCCTTTTACCACGGCTTTATAGCCTTGCCCAGTTATCTGCTAAGACGGGACTCCTAGTTATACTATGACATAAATATGCTGGTATGAGCTTTGGAACCTACTGCCCAACAACTGTAATGGCTATTGCTCGCTGGTATAAAAGCCATTAATAAATCCTCTTGTAATTTTTGGTTCCTATTAATAAATCGCTGTATCGTTGCTTGTCAAAAAAAAAAAACAAAAAAAAAGAAAAAAAGTATTTACGCATGATTACATATATCGGTAAGGAAGGTGCAAAAACCCTAAACCCTAAACCATAAAAGGAAGTTTCTCGAAATTACTACACTCAGAAACAATCTGCATATCATATTGATTGATAGTTTCAAGGAACAAATCAACACAGATTAAGATGCAAAAACATACCCATGACCTTTTCGTGTTTTCTGCTTTGATTGGCCACCTTTAACATGTACTTTTCCCTGATCAGATGAAGCCATTATCTCTTGAGGGCTTTCAACACCTAGCATGAAGATAATTAACAAAGCTCAGGTTGCTGTCATAAACATGGA